CATTTTACCAGATGTACAAAGAAGAGCTGGTACCAATTCTACTAAAACTATTTTCAAAAAATTAAGGAGGGACTCCTCCCTAAGTAATTCTATGAAGCCAGCATCACCCTGATAACAAAACCTGGCAAAGACACAATGCAAAAAGAAAACTACATGTCATTATTTCTGAGGAGGAAAGATGCAAAAAATCATCAACAAAATACTAGCAAATTGAATCCAGCATATATCAAAAGTTAATTCACCACAATCAAATAGGCTTCATTCCTGGGATGAAAGGTTGTTTCAACATATGCAAATCAATAAATGTGAATCACCACATGAACACAATTGAAAACAAAAACCATATGATCATCTCAATAGATGTAGACAAAGCCTTTGATAAAATCCAACATCTCTTCATGATAAACACCCTCAACAAACTGGGCATCAAAGGGATGTACCTCAATATAATAACCTTCTATGACAAACCCACAGCCAACATCATACTGAATGGGCAAAAGCTGGAAGCATTCCCCTTGAGAACTGAAAGAAGATAGTGGTACTTACTCTCACCCCTCCTATTCAACATAGTACTGAAAGTCTTAGAGCAATCAGAGAAGAGAAAGAAAGAAAAGACATCCAAATAAGAAAAGAAGTCAAAATATCTCTTTGTTGACTATACAACTCTATAACTAGAAAACCCTAAAGATTCTGCTAAAAGGGTCCTGGAACTGATAAATAACTTCAGTAAAGTTTCAGGGTACAAAATCAATGTACAAAAATTAGTAGCATTTCTATACATCAATAACATTCAAGCCAAAAGCCACATCAAGAATGCAATTCCATTTACAATAGCCACACAAAAAATAAAATACCTAGGAATACACCTAACCAAGGAGATGAAAGATCTTCACAAGGAGAACTACAGAACACTGCTGAATGAAATCACAGATGATACCAACAAATGGAAAAACATTTCATGCTCATGGATTAGAAGAATCAATATTGAAAACGGCCATACTGCCCAAAGCAAACTACAGATTCAATACTATTCCTATTAAACTTCCAAAGTCATTTTTCATGGAATTGGAAAAATTATGCTAAAGTTCACATGGAACCAAAAAAGAGCCTGAATACCCAAGGTGATAGCAAAAAGAACGAAACTGGAGTCATCACATTACCCAACTCTAAAAAGTATACAATAAGGCCACCATAACCAAAACAGCTTGGTACTGGTACATAAACAGACACATAGACCAATGGAACAGAATAGGGAACCCAGAAATGAAGCCACAGACCTACAGCCATCTAATCTTTACAAAGTTGACAAAAATAAACAATGAAGGAAGGACTCCCCATTCAATAAATGGTACTGGGGTAGGTGGCGAGCTACATGCAGAAGAATGAAACTGGACTCTTTTCACCATACACAAAAATTTACTCAAGATGGATTAAAGATTTAAATGTAAGACCTCAAACTATAAGAGTCCTTGAATAAAACCTAGCAAACACCATTCTGGACATTGACCTTGGGAAAGAAATTATGACCAAGTCCTCAAAAGCGATTACAACAAAAGAAAAATTGATTAAGTGGGACCTAATTAAACTAAAGAACTTCTGCACAGCATAAGAAACTATCAACAGAGTAAACAGATAAGTTACAAAATGGGAGAAAAAGTTTGCAAACTATGCATTTGACAAAGGTCTAATATCTAGAATCTATAAGGAACTTAATTCAACAAGCAAAAACCAAATAACCCCATTAAGGAGTAAGGAAAAGACATGAACAGACACTTCTCAAAAGAAGACATACACGTGGCTAACAAAGATATGAAAAAATGCTCAACATCACTAATTACAAGAGAAGTGCAAATCAAAATCACAATGAGATGCCATCTTGTACCAGTCAGAATGGCTGTTATTAAAAAACCAAAGTACAGCAGATGCTGGCCAGGTTGCAGAGAAATGGAAATGCTCAGAAAGGGAATGCTTAGACATTGTTGGTGGGGATGTAAATTGGTTCACCCATTGTGAAAAGCAGCTGGGAGATTTCTTAAAGAACTTAGAACTACCATTTCACTCACCAATCCCATTACTGGGTATATATCCAAAAGAAAATAAATCATTCTGCTAAAAAGATGTATGCACTCATATGTTCATCACAGGACTATTCACAATAGCAAAGACATGGAATCATCCTAGGTGCCCATCCTAGGTTCCCATGGTGGATTAGATAAAGAAAATGTGGTACATACATACCATGGAATACTAGGCAATCATAAAAAGAATAAAATCATGCCTTTTGTAGCAACATGGATGCACCTAGAGTCCACTATCCTAAGCCATTTAATGCAGGAACAGAAAGCATAGTACCACATGCTCTCACTTGTAAGCGAGAGCTAAAAATTGGGTGCTTATGGCAACAATAGACATGGGGGATAACACAGGGGTAAGGTATGGGTGCAAGGGATGAAAAACTAACTGTTGGGTACTATGCTCGTTATCTAGATGACAGGATCATTTGTATCCCAAACCTCAGCATCATGCAATATATCCGTGTAACCTGTATGTGTACTACTTGAATCCAAGATAAAATTTGAATCAAAAAAATAAAAATAATAAATCATCCCCCTCTGTGTACATAGAGAAAAATATCACATTGTATCCCATAAATGTATACAATTATTATTTATCAATCAATGATAATATTTTTAAAATGTTGTAGTGGTGGGGGCTGCTCATCATGGAATAACGAAGATGCAATCAGGACACAGTTCAGGATTACGTGTATAGTTCCATCCTTGGGAGGAGAGCAACGAAAACATACTTGGGTTATGTAGAAGTTAACTCCATCTTGGCTTTGTTTGGACAAGATGACTCTTGCAGAAGTACCTGAAATCTGAGGACTTTTTCTAGTCTTGTGGGGGATCCAACCAGGTAGATAAGGTCATTTCGTTGTTTTGCTTCTGGACAGCTTGTTGGCTTGTCCTACACTGCAATTCCTAATTTAGTTCATTGCATCCCTTAAAAACACTGATAAATAAAGACGTTGAAGAAGATATCATGTACCTAATACATGCCCACTGGAGCTGATGTAACATAAAACTTTAAATTCAATACAATTTTTATATATATTTTTTCCACCCCTATAAACAAATAAGATGAATTATTGTGTGCTCAATGCTTGTGATTACCCGGAATTAGTTTTTTTCTTTTTCTAAAATTGGAATAGAAACTGAGTGGTTAACAGTTTTAATATCCCTTTCTCCTCTTCAGGCATGTAACAGCATCATGCTGTAGTCACTACTACCTGATCCGGAAATGTTTAAGGATGGAAATAAAAATAACTATATAGCTTGGATTTTTAATAAAAATGTCCATTACCTACCTTTGTAGAGATTCTGAATTACTAGAACTGGGAATCTGATACTTGAGTAAGAAAAGTGTTCTGATGTGTGCTAACAGCACTTGGATTAAGATCGCCAGCATAGTTCCTACTCATTGAATTCTTTCCTTCTACATGGTTTCATTCCTAATCCATTCATCTACAGCTGGGTAATTTCTTGCAAGCTCTGTCTTGCTCAGGCTGGAACCTCTTGTAATAACCATCTGTAATTGCATCATGTTCTCTAAACCTAAGGATTAGGAAGGTTATATGTATGCAGCCAGAGGTACCTTCTCCCTAGGATAAAGCCGTCACCCACATAAATTCAAGGAACCTTCTCTGATAAAGAACTAATGTGTGCACATTGGCCTCAACATTCTATAGCTCCAGAGAGGGTGGAAAAGACAAGAAAAAGTACATCAATATGTAACATTGGTAAAATTATAATTTACGTAATTTTGCTCACATATATTAGATATATTTATGAATCTGTTTCTGTAATATGTGTGTGCATTAATATATTATTTATCCTGCAATGCAATTTCACTCCTCACCTTTAATTAATTGGTCAGTTCAGCACGCTTTAAGAAAAATAATAACATGATAGGTGTGTGTTGATGAATTCACTGAGACAATCACAGTACAATATAAGTATATTCTAATCTTATATCCACAGATACTTCAGGATCTCTGCCAATTGGACCTCTATTCCACCTCCGACATAGGATTACAATAGTGCAACCCTTGTTATATATTTGCACACACACAGATATTTAGTCATCCCCCACATATACATTCCAAATAAACAAAATCACTCAGCCAGTGTGGTGGCTCATGCCTGTAATCCCAGCACTTTTGGGAGGCCGAGGTGAGCGGATCACGAGGTCAGGAGATCGAGACCATCTTGGCTAACAAGGTGAAACCCTGTCTGTACTAAAAATGCAAAAATTGGCCGGGCATGGTGGTGGGCACCTGTAGTCCTAGCTACTCGGGAGGCTGAGGCAGGAGAATGGCATCAACCTGGGAGGTGGAGCTTGCAGTGAGCCGAGATCACGCCACTGCTCTCCAATCTGGGCAACAGAGTGAGACTCCGTCTCAAAAAACAAAACGAAACAAAACAAAATCACTCATATTTCATTACATCTAAGGCCATGTTTTTTCCACTTTAACATGTTGGAAACTAGGAAGAGTTCCAAAATTGATGCTATTTTGGTTTTACGAATTATTAGGGGTGTGTGCATGTGTGTATACTTTGAGTTGTATCCACGCTTATTAAAAAATATAGATTTCTTTTTAAATTGAGGGGAAATTATGAATCATTTGGAGTAAATTATTTCAAAATTTACTAGGCTCACAATTGTACAGTTTTGGTGTATTGTTATGCTCATGTCACAGCTGGACACTGAGATGCTACAGAAAGTAAATATGAAACAGTAGGCAATTATCTACTTTTAATGTTATACTAGTATTCAATAAATGCTAATTGCTTTCCTGGAAACATAATTTATTCTTCATAAATGATTTGTTAATATGAAAAGTTTTACTTGTAAGACAAATTAGAATAGAGGACATAATAGTAAACTTCTATTGAAAGTAAGTATTTTCCAGGGTTGGTTTAAGTAAACTATTGTGCAGTTTTCTGGGTAATGTTGATTTTCTAGATGAGTGTGATTGTTATTTGAGGATGGGAATGCAGGCGGTATTAAAAGGATTTCTAATCAGCAATTTTTTCAAGGCCACTTTCACCTCTTTGTTCCGTAGACTATAGATGATAGGATTCAACATGGGGGTTAGTCCAGCATATACCAAAGCCATAAATTTATCTATTTCCTGTGAATCTACAGTAGAGGGCTTCAGGTACATGGAGAGAGCTGTACCATAGAACAAAACTACCACCATCAGGTGGGCTGTGCACGTTGAAAAGGCTTTACTTCGGCCTTCCACTGAGCTGATTCTCAGGATACTGGTGAGGATAAATGCATAAGAGATACAAATGAGTAGCATTGGCAGGGGGAGAAGAAGTACACTGATCACCAGCATGATTAACTGCACCAGGGAGGTGTCCACACAAACCAATTTCAATACAGCCAGAATTTCACAAGTGAAATGATTGATGATACGATTACCACAGAGAGACAGTGGCAGCACAGACATCGTTTCCACCAGGGCAGTGAGACAGCCTGTCATCCAGGAGCCAGCTGCCATCTGCACACAGGTTCTCCTATTCATGATGACAGGGTATCTCAGGGGGTTGCAGATGGCCACATACCGGTCATATGCCATCATGGACAGGAGTACACACTCAGTGGAGCCCATGGCAAGGGAGAGGTACATCTGAGTGGCACATCCTGAGAATGAAATAGTGTTTCTCCCTGAAACAAAGTTTGCCAGCATTGGAGTGAGCGCAGAAGAGGTGTACCAGATGTCCAGAAAGGAGAGATTGCTGAGGAAGAGGTACATAGGGGTGTGCAGGTGGGAATCTAGGATGGTGATGGAAATCAGAATAACATTGCCCAGTAAGGTGATGAGGTACATCAGCAAGCACACCGCAAATATGATGACCTGAACTTTAGGGTAGTGCGAAAATCCCAGGAAGAAAAATACTTTTACAGATGTCCAGTTTGCCAGGAACATTTTTTTATGTTATGTTCATCTGTACGTATGCATAGAAGGATTAATGTCGCACATATATAAAACGTAACCCCCTCCTTCACATATCTGGCATGTTTTATTTATATGAACTTGTGGTCGGTTCTTAAATGGTTCTCTAGGTTAGCGATAGTAATATTTGTTTGAAGAAATATGTCGCTAATAAGAAACATTTAAGCAGGAAGTCAACAGATACATCCTTAAAATATTACTTTTGCTGTAAGATTTTCTTTTGGCAATGTGAGGGTAGGAGGATGGTGTATTTAATCAGCATCACAAAAGAATGAGAAAAGAAACAACATTTTGCATTCTTTCTTTTTCCAAAACCACATTTTAACTGATCTATTTACCTCTGTACCATTGGCATGATTTTCTTCCTCTGATTTAGTAATAATCTTCTTACTTAGGAACTGTTAGGATTTCCAGGTTCGCAGTTTCTTCTGCCGTTCCTAGAGATATAGCCAAAATAATTTGGAAGTCTCAGTGAATAAAGGCAAAAAAAGGTATAGGTTTCTGCAGCCATAAATTAACAGAGACTTTGAACACTTAGACACAAGCCCCAGAATTTCTTTCTTAAACCTAGGAAAATGGTGACATATGTCTCATGCTGGGAGACACATGGCAAATATTTCTTTCATCTTGCTTTAGTTGTCCTGGTGTTTGTGCTGCAGTAACATCCTCCAAAGAACCAGCCATTGGCAGTGTAGGGCAATTGAAGCTATTTGTTGCTTTTGAAAAGTCTCCAATTCATGCAGCAAATTAAAGTGAAACATCTATTTGTACAGTATTACAAATTCGAAAACTCCAGGGACAGTGTCCCATACATCCAATTACAGTCAGTAGCTTGTCTTGCCTAATTCAAATTATACAAACAATACGTAAACATGTTTCCTACCTACACTGTCTTTGGGAAGGGGAACTTTACTCTTCTCCCAATAGTGTTATGAAGTCAGACTCGTTAATTTAAATGAAGTTAAAAATCATGCATAAGGTTGGTAGTTTCTCCTTCAGATTGTAGGAGAGTTGTATAATGTGAATGAGATCAAGTTGTACTTGATATGGGACCCGTAACTTTTCTACTACTCAACGTGGCTTAAAGAGAAGGCCATTGAGGGCAGATATTTCTCATAGCACATAAAGATCTATTTGCTTTCAGAAACACTTTTTCTTTTGGGAAGTAAGCTTCACCCTATAAAGGCATCTTTACCCTTCAGAAATCCATTGAAGCTTCTGTCTGAGTGATGCTTTATAATCCCTGTTCACAACTTGTTTGTTTTCCAAGTGAGAGATGAATGGTTAACAGTGTATGGTGGTGTGGGAAATGCATACTGTCAGTGTCATCATTGTACAATTGTGATTGTATAACTTGCTTCTTAGTAGCAGATTGTAATCATGGCCATTACTGAATTGTTTTACATCACATCAAATATTCTTCATTCTCAGAGAAGGTCATAAATTTGAATGATTGCCAAGATATTTCAAAGCACAGTAAAAAAAATCTCTTCGCTAGTTAGTATTTGCAATCAGAATGCATCTTTTAGGTCTTTCATGTACTCACTCCAACAGAGATATAACTTTCACCGCCTTGGAATCATGCGTATGGTTCCCTTCTTTACCTATAGGAAAGCTTGGTGTACAGGAAAGACTAGGGACTTTGTGCAATAAACACGTTTCACTTTACCACTTCATTTTTGTCACCTAGAGCAAGTTGATGATCCTCATTGAGATTTAGATTATTTATAAAAGGGCAATGACAATATTTCTTTATCAGAGTTGTTCTGAGGAATAAAGATATTTCATGTAAAGCAACTAAGACTGAAATTGATGTATAGTAGGTAATTAACAAATATTAGATTTTTCTCCATTCTGTGGTTTTTAACTTGCTTCTTGAATCATCTTTTTTCCTTGTATTCTCCCTTTTCATTATTTCCCTCTTTGACTATGGCAATGCCCTTCCTTTGCTTTTCTCATTTAGACAATATTTGCTGCAGCTGCAATACAAATGGTTAAAGCAAAAGAGAGAAAAGAAATGGACTAACATCTGGCCCCAGAATCCACTTTTCCTCTGAATTTGTTTATCTGATACTCCTTCTAACTTACCTGTCCAGTTCCTATAGACTAAAGCTTGTGAAGCTCAAAGTGAATCATTTAGGTTGACTTGATTGTGTTTGGGGGAAGGGTTAGAAGAGTACATTATTGGCTGGGTGTGGCTCATGCCTGTAATCCCAGCACTTTGGGAGGCCAGGGCAGGAGGATCATGAGGTCAAGAAGTTGAGACCATCCTGGCCAAAATGGTGAAACCCCGTCTCTACTAAAAATACAAAAATTAGCTGGGCATGGTGGTGTACACCTGTAGTCCCAGCTACTAGGGAGGGTGAAGTAGAAGAAAGAAGAATCACTTGAACCTGGGAGGCGGAGGTTGCAGTGAGCCAAGATCATGCCACTGCCCTCCAGCCTGGTGACAGAGCTGGACTCCATCTCAAAAACAAAACAAAACAACAACAACAAAAAAAAGTACATTATTTTAGGGCTAGCCACAAAAAGATCATATAGAGGCAATGAGTAAGTCTCAGGAAGGTTGCCAACCTTATCCCCCACTATTTATGCAGCAACAGACTACATTTCTGCTTTGGAGATAATTCAGAAAATGCTGAAAAGAAGAAATACTGAACCACCACAGAATTTTTTCTCTCTGATTATGTTTATTGCAGCACTATTTACAATAGCAAAGACTTGGAACCAACCCAAATCCCTATCAATGATAGCCTGGATAAAGAAAATATGGCACAGATACACCATGGAATACTCTGCAGCCATAATAAAAGAGTGAGCTCATGTCTTTCGCAGGGACATGGATGAAGCTGGAAACTATCATTCTCAGCAAACTAACACAGGAACAGAAAACCAAACACCGCATGTTCTCACTCATAAGTGGGAGTTGAACAATGAGAACACATGGACACAGGGAGGGGAGCATCACACGCTGGGGCCTGTTGAGGGGTGGGAAGCAAGGGGAGGGAGAGCATTAGGATAAATACCTAAGGCATGCAGGGCTTAAAACCTAGATGATGGGTTGATGGGTGCAGCAAACCACCATGGCACATGTATACCTATGTAACAAACCTGCACATTTTGCACATGTATCCTGGAACTTAAAATAAAAATTAAAAAAAAAAAAAAAAAAGAAAATCAACTGACTACATATTGCATGGATTTCTTTCTGAATTCTTTTATTCTGTTCTACTGATCTATTTGTTTTTCTTTATGCCAATTCCACAGTCGCTAGATCATTATAGGTTTATAATAAGTTTATAATGAGGTAGTGTAAATCCTCTAACTTTATTCTTCTTTTTCAATGTTGTTTTGGGTATACTAGGTCCTTTTCTTTTCCTATCAGCTATAGAATTGTCAGTTTCTCTAAAACCTCTTCCTAGATTTTGAGTGGTATAGCAGTAATCTGTAGATCAATCTTGGGGAGAATTGATATCTTAATAATATCGATTCCTCTGATTCATGAACAATGTATCTCTCATTTCTATAGGTCTTTAAATTCTGTCTGCAATGTTCTATATCTTTCAGTATAAAAGCTTTACAGATCTGCCAGGGGTTGTGGCTCAAGCCTGTAATCCCAGCACTTTGGGAGGCTGAGGCGGGTGGATCATTTGAAGTCAGGAGTTCCAGTCCAGCCTGGCCAACATGGTGAGATCCCATTTCCACTAAAAATACGAAAATTAGCTGGGTGTGGTGACATGTTCCTGTAATCCCTGTTATTCGGGGGTCTGAGGCAGGAGAATGGCTTGAACCCAAGAAACAGTTTGTAGTGAGCCAAGATGGCACCACTGTACTCTAGCCTAGGCGATGGAGTGAGATGCTGTCTTAAAAAAAAAAAAAAAAGTTAATTTTCCCTGTTATTTTATGTTTTAAAATATGTGATATTTTTCAAATGTATATATTTTTCAATTTATTTTTGTTGGCAAATAGAAATGCAACTTGTGTGTCTATGGTGACATATCCTCATAGCTTGATAAATTCTTTTATTAACTTTATTATTTTTTGTGTGGATTCCTTGGAAATTTTTGTCACTGTTCACATACACAATCTGGTTGTCTGTGAATTGGGACACTTTTCTTCTTTCTTTCCAACTGTAACCCCTTTTAATTATTTCTCTTGCCTTATTGTTCTGGCTAAGACATTCAATACAGTGCTACACGGAAGTGGTGATAGCGGACATTCTTGCCTTGTTTTGATCTTAGGAGGAGACCATTCAGTTTTTTCATTGACTGTTATCTGGCTGTTTCACCCTGGACCTCACCATTCAGCCTCCTTTTCTTGTGCTTTCACCATTCAGCCTCCTTTTTCTTGTGCTTAATTGGAGAGAATTGAAATAGATAATCTTTCATAACCCTTTCAAATGCAATATTTCAAAACTCTGATATTCACTTGTACAAGCGTCTTTCAGGCTATGTAATGAGCATTTCTTGCAGAGCTACAGTGAGTGCATTGATACTACAAATTTAGTGTATGCATACATATATAAAATACTAAATTATATATCTATTACATATAATCATATCTCTGCATATTTTTTCTTGGACTAGATCTCTATTAATCACCTATGAATATCAGTTAAAGCTAAAGTGTAGACACTGGAGGACAACAATGTAAAATAACTAGACTAAGGGGTAGATAATTCCATGTGAACAGAGTAAGGAATCAAATCAATGTGAAAAAATAATAGGAGGTGATTCAGGTTTGAAACGGTGAAGATCCAACATTGAATTGGAAGAGCAGAGGAGAAGCAAGAAAGTATTTGGAAGCATGGGCTGGCTGTCCAGTCAAAGAAGAACTAGGAAGGATAAAACCACTTACCTGGAGTGATGGGGAAGAGGCTGGATCTAAACCTGAGATGGGAACCTAAATATTTATCCATATGTCATCTTGTTTTTTCCAGTATTAAGGGCTCCGAGAAAGCCTAGCTTGTCTAAAACAGGGAGGTTGGTATGATATGGTAGTTCAGAGAGGAACTAGGAAGAGGCCTAAAAATATACTTCAAAGCTAAACGAATTGA